AAAATTTTTTTTTTTTTTTTTTTTTTTTTTTTTTTTACAAATCTTTTCATATTAATGTATAATACGCTTCATTTAACCAAACGGCTGGTTCTGACCGTACGAAAAATATTTTGTAACTTTAATCGCAGGGTTTATCATGTAAAATTATTATTAATATCAGCGGCCTGTTATTGCTGTCCGTATCGCAATTAGAAACTTTAGATATATATAACACGATCGTTACTAATGCTGGGAATGTTCCATTGTACTTAATGACCTTTTATTAACAGGATATTGACAACTTAATGGCCGAAGGGAACAAATCACGAACTGTCGCCGCAACGAATATGAATTCCGAGAGTTCCCGCTCTCACGCTGTGTTCTCTGTAATCTTGACGCAAACTTTGACGGATTTTAAAAGCGGAGTAAGCGGCGAAAAAGTTTCACGAATGAGCTTAGTTGATTTGGCCGGAAGCGAGAGAGCTGTGAAAACGGGAGCCGTAGGCGATAGACTTAAAGAAGGAAGCAATATTAACAAGTGAGTTGCTTTTTAATTTTTCAAATAGTATTTCTTATGGTTATTAACGGCAGTAAGCAGCATCTCTGATTACTTTCAGATCATTGACAACCTTGGGACTCGTCATCTCGAAACTGGCTGATCGAAGTTCTGGTGTTAAAAATAAGGATAAATTTGTTCCCTATCGCGATTCTGTCCTCACGTGGCTCTTAAAGGTACTACGGAAGTATGCTTCATATAATATCGTAGACATTATGTTAATGTGCATCTTTTTTTTAAATTTATTAAACGTGCAATAACAGATTTACTTTGATTTATTTACCTTAGTCATCCGTTGCATCTATGTTTTAAAAATTTATGAAATGCAGGCTTTCTTATATTTAAGATACATGTAACACGTACAAAGGTATAATGTGGATGTTTCCAAGATGACAAAGAGATGACTTTTATTCGATTCGGTGAATTCTTACTTTATAATTTCAATAATTCACAAATTTTTCAGGATAATTTGGGTGGCAACAGCAAAACAGTTATGGTCGCGACTATATCTCCAGCTGCAGATAACTACGAGGAAACTCTATCTACACTTCGTTATGCAGATCGAGCCAAGAGAATAGTGAACCACGCAGTCGTCAACGAAGACCCCAACGCCAGAATAATACGCGAATTACGACAAGAAGTTGAAGCTCTAAAGGAAATGTTACTACACGCAACGGTACTTTTACGGATAGGATAGTTTTTCTAATTCGTCTTTTCAAGAGCTTAGACACTGTTCAGAAGCTGGAAAGTCATTCGTTACTAGTTTGACAGAAAAAAAGGTGTATTCAAATATGCTAAAAAGTCTTTCTCACGCACTTAAGAATTTTTCAGCTTGTCATTTTATAGAGAATAATTTATAATTGAAGAAGCAAGTCATTCGGTAAGTTCTGTAACTAGACAGACGATAAAATGACCGTAATGAATTTGAATTTACAGTTTATCATTACTTCTTGTGTGATTAAATGCGCTCTTTGATATTAATCACTTTACAGGCCTTACTGAATTGTATGGGAAAATTGAGTTAACAAAATATGTTCATATAATGTATACGTATTTTTTTAGGGTCAAGGATCTGTAGTCGGTCAACAACGCACAGATATCACAGAGAAGCTTTCGGAGTCCGAAAAACTTATGAAAGAGATGTCGCAGACTTGGGAAGAGAAACTAGTGAAAACCGAGAGACTTCAGCACGAGAGACAACAAGCCCTGGAAAAGATGGGTATCAGTGTACAGGCGTCAGGGATTCAAGTGGAAAAGAACAAGTATTATTTAGTCAACTTGAATGACGATCCGAGTCTAAATGAACTTCTGGTTTATTACCTAAAGGTAAGAACATGAAAGTAATCGGCGAGAAGTTGATTGTCATATATTGTATTGCAGTGCCGCTACGTTATTTTTATTATAAAGATGCTTACTGACAGATAAAAGTTTCACGAATCTTGAATCTTGACGTCATCGCAATCTGAATATAATTAACTACGAATTGATTTCATAATATAAAGTCTGATCAAAGTTTCGGTGCCGTTTAATCCTGACCTTATTGTGTTTAAACTCTCTGGTAATTCTTCAAGCTAATAATTTATTATCAACGCCTTATAGTAGATGTAATTTTTTTTTTTATATTTTATAAAGGTAAATTTAAATCAGTAGAAATAACTATTTTCTTTTTTTCAAAAGTGCACACAGATTCTAATAGCATCGTTTCAAAACACGCAAACGATCTTTGATGAAAATTTTAATCTGTCAGTGTCAACATTTATTTTGATTATATTGATTATAAACTAGTATACTTTTATGCTATAGAGGTATATTCATTTTAAATGTTTAAAAGTCAGTCTGGTATATACATCATGATTAGAAATCTAAATGGTATACTATTACAAGAATTCCTAAAAATAATATTTATTGTTTAATATGTATTCTTTACACTGCGATACTATTCGCAGGAGAAAACTCTCGTTGGAGGACGATCAGCTACCACGGAGCAAGACATTCAACTTCATGGTTTGGGAATTTTACCAGAACATTGCGTGATAACAATAGAAGAGTCTGGACTCTTCATGACACCATTGAACGGAGCCAGATGTTTCGTAAATGGTAGTCAAGTGGTGCAAAAGACGCCATTGCTTCATGGCGACAGGATCGTTTGGGGCAATCACCACTTTTTCAGAGTAAACTGTCCCAGGAGTGCAACAGGCAAGTTCACTAATATTCTCATATTCCGTTCTGCGTTTGTAAGGAATTAGAAAGTGAGACTCTCGTCATGGATTTAATAATCAAATTTTACTAATTCCTTATTAACAAGCAGTATTGGCATTTTAAATAAAAGACAGAACGACAAACTGATTGGCCTTGATCCGCATTACAGACTGTACAGTTTTTTAAATATATTTGCAAAAAAATTAAATTCACGCATGAGCCGTCGTAAAATCGAAACTATTGTACGACATATATAAATGTTACTATGTCATACTTTTAGAACTTTTTTTTCGACCTTTGAACCCATTTGGTTGAGCCGTTTCTTATGGAATTTTTTATACAGGCGTGAGATATAAATTTTTCGAGGTTTTGCACAGACGCTGACAGGCACATACACACACACACAAATTTTATTTTGCAATAGCAATTATATTAGACAATTCGGTAGGTATCATAAAATAACGAAGAAATCGTTGCTTCCATATTAAAAATTATGATTCTTCCAACGTAGTAATTGTGTAATACTTGAATTGATCTTATCGTACTGCAAATAAAATTTGTGTAAATATTACCTAGCATATCGTCAAAAACTCTGTTCCAATGTAGTCGTTATTTCAGCTGTGAGTAGCGAACCTCAGACTCCTGCACAAACTATCGACTACAATTTTGCCCGAGAAGAGCTTATGTTAAACGAACTTTCCAATGATCCTATACAAAGAGCTATTGCAAGACTGGAGAAACAACACGAGGAGGATAAACAGGTCAGATTTGAATATATTGTACTTTGTAATACCATATATATACTGTGCTAAATTTATTCGATTGGTCTATACATTTATACATTAGAGCGATAACATCTTTTTCCACTTCTTTCGTATTAGAAATTTCGTCGCATGAAAATTTTGTTACTAAAATCCACTGTATAGTACGAAGAATCAGCGATTTTTCTATTTATTCGGCTTTTACGAAAAACTGGATAGGCGCTGCCTAAAGCAAAGACGGTGTACGAAAAAGAGCCTCGAATAAAAATACCGTTATCATTTGGATACTGAAAGTTTCTTATGTTATAGTTATTGGTAATCAATAGCTGCGATACTGAAGAATTTCTAAAGATATACAGACAATCCGAATGACTATAATTAAACGAAATTAGAAAGTGTATTATATTTAAGAAACTTTTAAGAGAAATTTCATTAGTTTTCTTTTTTACTTATTTTTTATCTAATTTTTGCTTTTTTTTTATTATTAATTCAAAATTTAACGTGTACTTTGGTTATGTCTCTAGGTCGCTCTAGAGAAACAACGACAAGAGTACGAAAGACAATTCCAGCAATTGCGCAACATTCTTTCACCATCAACTCCTTATCCTCCTTATGTGCCGTACGATCCCTTAAGAGGTAGTCAAAGTGGAAAGTTGCCCGCTTGTACGCCTACAACACAAATGAGGGTAGAAAAGTGGACACAGGAACGCGATGAGATGTTTAAACGCAGCCTGGGTCAGCTCAAAACTGACATTTTAAAAGCAAATGCATTGGTACAGGAAGCAAATTTTCTCGCTGAAGAGATGGGCAAGCAAACGAAGTTTAGCGTCACACTTCAAATACCTCCAAACAATCTAAGTCCTAACAGAAAGGTAAAATTTGTATCTTTTTAAATATCGACTGCTTACCATTATGGTGCATATTTAGTTTTGGTCCTGGAAACTTTGTATCTGTTATACTGCATCACATTTTAAGTACATTGAGAAATTTGTGTATAGTCTTATGTTCACTCATCGAAGATTACGTATTATTTATTGAATATTTTTTATCAAATCAGAGTTTTATTTATTTTTTTTTTCCTTTTTTTTTTCATTACACTCATACGTATGTAGAGTGTATTCTTTCAGCGTGGGGCCTTTGTTAGTGAACCTGCTATTCTTGTGAAGAGAATCAACATGGGTAGCCAAGTCTGGTCGATGGAAAAATTGGAAAATAAGTTGGTCGACATGCGGGACATGTACGAGGAGAGAAAGGATTCAAATAATTGTCAGCGCCTACCTGTCGTTAAGGTACACCTATATTAAAAGCTCACACACTGTATTGTGTTTATTGCATTGGACTCGGGCTCGTATTCATAGCCAGTTCCGCGTCTTAAGCACGATCTTAAGCCGTCCGCAACCATGGATTAAGCTGACGTGTCTACAGTCTGAAGACTGTGGTTTGTCTCAAACACTGATTATGAATACGGACCTTAAAAGGCTTTCGAGAATTCAATATAATAGACGTATTAAGGGACTATTATGTTTCAGGATGAATTGCCAGGCAAAACACAAGATCCCTTTTACGAGTCACAGGAGAATCATAATTTGATTGGAGTGGCAAATATATTCTTGGAAGTTCTCTTTCATGACGTACGATTGGATTATCATACGCCTATAATAAGTCAACAAGGCGAAGTCGCGGGACGACTTCAAGTCGAGATTAGTCGGATATCAGGCCAGTTTCCGCAGGATCGAATTTGCGAAGCAGCCTCCGAGTCCTCGGGTGACTCGAGTTCGTCCGAACAGGAGGATTATTCAGGCTCGAGTCACATAACTTGCAGAATAACAATAAAACAAGCTAGCGGATTACCTCTGTCCCTCAGTCATTTTGTATTTTGTCAATACATATTTTGGGGCCACCCGGAGCCAATCGTCGTACCTCCAGTTGTCAATGCAGAAATCCCTCCGACAAATTGTCTTACTGGCCAGAGAGACTCTCTTGCTTTTAAGTTTGATCATACCAAGGATTTTAGTGTGCCTATTACGGAGGAGTTTCTCGAACACTGTTCAGGTACGTCCTTAAAATTGTTCCATTTTTATTTTTACTTTAACCTTAAGACTGCCGTCAATTTTTCATAAAATAGTGTTCGTTTTATCAAAAATTTTGGCATGATTAAATGTTTCCATTTGTAGAAGGTGCTCTGAGCATCGAAGTTTGGGGGCACAGAAGTGCTGGGTTTTCTCGAAGCAAACCTGGCTGGGAGGTTGAACAACAGCAGCTGGCCAAAGCTAGATCGCTGGCTGATCGTTGGTCAGAGCTAACTAGGAAAATAGAATTATGGGTGGAAATACAAGAACTTAATGAACAAGGAGAATATTCGCCAGTCGAAGTAGTGAACAAAGGGGACACATGGACAGGTAAAATATGATGTCCATAGTAGCAACTTGTATATTTATACTAAATTAAGATAGTGAACAAACAAGAATATGTCATTGAGTTTTAGTCATTTATCTCACCATGTTGATTAATACATTTTTCTCTTCCCTAATAAAAAAGGGTATATGTACAAAATGTTCTAAAAAGAGACATCGATATTTATTGTATATTAATGTTTTAGGAGGCATTTATCAACTAAGACAAGGTCAACAACGTCGAATACAAGTTCGTGTTAAACCCGTTCAAAATTCAGGCACATTGCCAATCATTTGTCACTCAATTTTGAGTATTTCCGTTGGCAGTGTGTCTGTCAGAAATCGTCTTCAAATACCATTAGACAGTTACCAGGACGAAGACCTGAGTATACTTCGTGACAAATGGAGTGATGCTCTTATGAGAAGAAGGCAGTACCTCGATCAACAAATTCAAAAACTTATTAACAAAGAAGGTATTCATATAATTTGAAAATACGTCTAGGTATCCGCGTTATTTATTACCTCTTATCTAACCTATACGGTGCCAGCCTTAATCAGCCTTTTGACTCGATTAAAATAATGCTTCATTTCTTTTTTTTTATTTCTTTTTTTTTTAGACAAAACCGACCAGGACATGGAACGAGAGCGAAGCTTGGTTGATCAGTGGGTCAGTCTCACTGAAGAACGAAATGCTGTTCTCGTGCCAGCTGCTGGTTCTGGCATACCTGGAGCACCAGCAGACTGGAATCCACCTCCTGGGATGGAACCACACATTCCTGTATTGTTCCTTGATCTCAATGGTAGGTAAAATATTCATATAGTCCCCTTGTAGCATATATACGATCCATGTGTTTTTTTCAAAACTGGTTTTTTTTCTACGTTTAAATAATTATTGCTATGTTCAGATGGTATTTGGTAACCTTAGCTTGAACAACTTGAACTTTGCAAAATTATTGCCTTATATTTAGCTACTGGTGTGTCTGACAGACTCTACCAGGCATGCGAAGGGTTAAAAAATCCTTGATTAAAATTATGCGTAATATTATAGAACAGTTAAAAATTGAAAACTACCATGGCTTTATTTAATATAATTTTTTTTTTGCAGCCGATGATCTTTCGACTCACCAGTCAGGTGAAGAAGTCTCGGTCACAGGATTAAATTCAATCCTACCTAAGGAACATGGAAATAAGTTTTACAGTTTGCCAATAATTCGGCTCCTCGAAAAAGACGTGTGCGCTATCGCAGCTTGGGATTCCAGTATACACGACAATGTGCACCTAAATAAGATAACCGACGGTAATTATCTACCTAACAGGCCTAATATTTAATATTATAGAAAATTCGGTATACAAGAAAAATTAATTATTCATTTGTCATGTCAAACAGTTTCAGTGAATTATAAGTGAATTTAAAAGGCATTAATAAGAATTCACTTATACAAAACTCATTTGAATGACATTACAGTGATACTAATTATTTTACTTTGATTATAGCAAACGAAAGGGTTTTCTTAATCCTAAAAACAACAGTTCGTTTGTCTCACCCAGCACCAATGGATCTCGTATTGCGCAAACGATTGGCTTTAAATATTTACAAAAGGCAGAGTATCACAGACAGAATTTTCAAGAGAATCGTCCGAACAGACTGCCTTACACAAACTGGTGTCACCTACGAAGTTGTTTCAAATATACCGAAGGCCAGCGAAGAGTTGGAAGATCGAGAGAGCTTAGCTCAAATAGCTGCCAGTGGAGAAGATAGCAGTTTGTGCGATGGCGAAACGTATATCGGTGAGTTCAATTTATTATATAAGTTCAATAGACTACTTTAAAATAATAAACTTGAAATTATTAACGAAAGTCGTTTAGACCATGTTTGCTATTATCATAATTCAATGTTTTACGTGACCATTGTATTTCGCGTAATAGCATATTATACCTCGTGCATGGGTGTAATTTTGTTTGTGAATATTTAAGGGATATAATCACTAAGTTGGACCTGTGTTAGCAAATACGTAAAATTGCTTAGAACAAACAGACACATGTTACTGTGAAAGTTTCTTTGTCAATGTGAAAATTATTTCGAACCTGATACAATTAATGTTGCAAAGTTACAGATTAACATTTTATATTACATTTTTCTTTCTTATCTTTGAATAATCTTTGATAATCTTGAATAATATTCAATTACATAATGTAAGCATTTTTATAACATAGAGAAATACACTCGTGGTGTCTCTGCGGTGGAAAGTATCCTGACGCTGGACCGACTAAGGCAGAGCGTCGCTGTGAAAGAACTACTTCAGGCGCAAGGACAACCATTAATGCGCAAGACAGCGAGTGTGCCCAACTTCTCGCAGGTACTACTGCCTCTACGCCGTCTCGGACGCACTGTATGCTTTTCATTTTTACTTAATCATTTTAATCGACTTTTCGTTCCACTCTGTGCAAACTCATATTGCACCACTTCATGCCTCTTTTCAATTATATCCTTGAATTCATGGTTTTGTACCAACTGAAACCTGAAGAAAATTACTTCGTTTAATTATTTCTGATAAAAAGTAGCACATTTTTTCCTGTAATTGTAAATAGATATACGAAGCTGTTATTGGCATCAACGTATGCTCAGATATATGGGTTTTGGACCAATATTTAGACAATGCTTTAGACTGTATTCTGAAATTATAAAAAAAACTATTCACTTGCAAATCCCACCTCAGCATACAATTTTGACACCAATTTATAGTATTAAAGCTTAATTGACATTCTAGCTTCATTAATGTTTTGCATTTTGTATTCTATTGTATTTAATTAATATTAATTATTTCTTTTCACGGATTATTGTCTATATACTTGTAAAAATAATGTACATACTTATGCTTAATTCTTTAGTTGGACGTAATAAGTATCGGCTTCAATTACGCTTTACTTTTCTTTTGTATTTTTTAATTTGTTGTTGTTGTTGTGTCACTTGTAGAGTAAACTTTGATTAATGATATACTCTGTCGTACAAGCGCATCGAAGGACTAATAACTAGAAAGAGAAATTTTCTTAGATAAAACTCTGTAATTGTTATGTAAACAAAATTAATTTTTTTTATCAGATAATGAGATTCGATGCTTCAATGGATTCATTAAACGTAACACGCTCGGAGAGTGTAACGGATCTAAACACTGAAATCAATGGATTGCCACATGCCCGACGATCGTCAACGGGTCTCAGCAGAAACGACGAGAATTTCTTATCCACTCCGCCAAAGCCATTTGGAATCGGTAAGTTTCGGATAATCGTACACTTATCATTTTCTTATTGCTATCAAAAATAAAGAAGACAAATCGAAAGACAACTGTTAATTGCCAGCGACTCGTTCTATGATCTCTTAAGAAATGCCATTTAAATGACACGATAAATCCAAAGTTAAATCTGGACGCATTGTATTTCTTAAGAAGTCGTAGTGGGTGCAGTAAACGTTCAAGAAAAATATTTCTGACTTTCATGATGCATAATTAACACGATCATTAATTTTTCATAATTATTTTGAACGATTCCACAATGATACCGACTGAAAGTTCGCCAACTAAAAGGTAATCTTGATGCTCCTGTCCAGAGAAACATTTTCTCTGTTGCTAATCACCATTATGGCCTCGTGGACAGCATTGCGAATTTTGTGGGGATACATTTTTTTTCGAAATCCGTTGCTTTCTACATCTCCCACCTAAACGTATTGACGCTAAGGCAAAAGTTTATCAATGTAAACAGCGTCATGCTGTCGACGGTATGCATCATAATAACGAGAATTTTTTGTAGGCTTTATAAAATTTTCGAACTGAACTGCTACTTCAGTAGACTCATAATAGGTATACGCAAAGTTTACATTCAGAATTTCATGATGGCTTATGATCATAAGATAACCCAAGATTTGACGGTAATATATTTATATAAATACATAAGTATTCAGAGTTATTATTGTAATATTAAATTTTTGTAGAAATCAAATGAATGGGCTAGCCAAGTTGATGCGTTTCATCTGATCTCTTTCATTCATATCAATGCTATCATACTGCGTAGACTTATAAAGTCCAAAAATGTCCACTGGTCACTATTAAAATAAAAAATACATTTCATTTAACAGAGAATATCTGTTTAATTTAATTATGCTATTAAAAGTTGAATTCAAACTCTTAAATTGAATTAGAAACAACATAGAAATATATTAAGCGATATTCCTGTCTCTTATGTTGTCTGAAGTCATCATGAAACTCGAATGAAGTCTTGTCTGATGCTATCGTTAGCATTATCTTTTTAGGGTCTTTAGACTTAGAATACCGTTAAATTAGGTTAAGTCATACCCCATTGCCTTGGTTTTGCTTTCTCGAGACACACTTTACCAGAAGTTTCCTGAGATGTGGCTTATGCTGTGTTTTCGATATATTTCACTTTTTTCATAATATTCACCCTATTTTTGCTCTAGTTTCTTGTCTGTATTACAAATCTACTGTCACGTCTTCCTTTGGTATTGGATACGTTGGTTCTGGATATTGAAACAAGCCGTGCTTTATTTTTCTATGTTCCAGTTAAACTTCATGTCATTCATTGCTAGCACGTGCCTTTTCTACGTGGTATAAAATGCAGATATTTAAAATAACTTTGACATGTCACGCGACTCATGGACGTTCCTTAAATGTTGATCTAAGAAGACGAGAAATTCAAATGCATAAATATATTAGTGTCTTAAAATGATTACGCGTAGGAAAGGCAGTCTTAATCACCTAGAATAAAAGAGTTAACAGTTTTGCCGTAAAAAAAGATACCGGCAGGTCTGGCATTCTTATTAGTAATTATTATCAGATTGGGATTTTGTATTATTCCTCTTTACAGCTTCTGTCACATTGTTATAACCATACAGCAATGCTCAACTTTCAAGAGCGTTCATATACGAGCTTTCATTTGTTAATCCATTCATTGTGATTCCATGCTGGCTCAAAATTGAGTTAGGAAAAGGCAAGATTACATTTTCATATCTTGTTCGTTCACATGATATTTAACGACCGACGCTATACAAAAAGTTGGGCACTGCCAATCACATTTTCTTGGATCTGCATAGTGTTTTAGCAGAAGACACTTAAGCTCCACCACTTATTAAAAGTTAATGAGAGTGCGTCCAATTGACGTGTAAAATAAGCTATTCTGTTGGCAAGGATCAATCGCTAATTGAATAATTGATTTAATGCTACTTAATCTGTTCCTCTGTTTTAACACTACGACTACTACTTCTACCACTATTTCGGCCCACGCAAGGCTCCATTCTGAACTCAGGTAAAATGGAGTCTTGATTTGGATATTTATTTGAAGCCGCGATGGCAATGACGATAGTAAATCTGTCTCGTGAGTGGTTGAGTCTGTCTGTTGTTTAATTTTCGAAGCTCGCCTTGATGTCATAGGAATACACTTATGCTTTGGTAATGCTCGGACTTGAACCGGTCACTGGTCTACTATAAAATAATAATCGCTTCAAAAAAATAATGATTTCAGAAGTTACCAAAGCACTTTTGACAATCGATGACAATGGAACCAATTCTGAGCATCTTTCAAAGCTATGCATTTCAGTTGTTTGCACATAGTTGTTTATCATGTGCCTTTTTTTTTTTTTTATATTCTGATCTTGCATGCACCGTTAATTTGTTCGTTCACAGCGCATTTTTACTGGGCATACGTTTTAGAGAGTTTGCTTGATCGTTTGTTAGTTGCTCCTCTGATCATGCATCCAAAAAGAAGAAGAATGAAAAAAAAATGTATATGTAATTAACATTCACAACTAACTTACTCTATTTTACGTTTTCATGCTCTCTATATTCATCTAAATATCTAATCAATGTCTCGATATCTGTCGCATACACTCCTCTGAACCGGTTCAGGAAAATGAGCCGATTCGCGCGCAAAAGTTGTGACTAAAAGTCAAAATGAGAAAAGACAGCTGAAACTTTAATACGAAACTACTTATTGTTCGAGCCATCTTCTTTGACTCTAAAGGTGGCCGATTTCTCACTCTTTACAAAGTTGTGACCCATTTATATTTTATCTAAAACATTACTTATTAAGAATATATCAATGACGAAAGATTAAACATTGTGATACTTATGTTAGTGTTATGTCGTTTATGACTTTGTTGGAGTTATAAGTCGATCTACCTTTATTGCAGTAAAAACAGATGTTTTCAATTAGGGAATTTTTGCATAGAAATCATTTTGGTGGAAATAGCGAAAAATTGTGAACGTTTACATTTGTTACGAGTACAATTTTTGATGTCTCGCTGTTGTATGACTATAAAATGATTTCTGTGTCGACATTTACGACGACGTTCAAATGTACGTGTAACATCGGTGATGATTTTTACATTTTATGCACACATCACATGGATCCGACAGTTTATCTTAGTTTATTTGACTTTTTAAAACAGTTTCTGTGAAAATCTTATTACCTCTACAGCTATAGAATAAATCAATAATAAATAGTATTAATAGTATAATTCTCCAGCTATATATTTACCAACCAATCCTATTTACTGTAATATCACTATTACAATACCACCTATTTATTCTAATAAGAATGAGCAACACGTTTCGCAAATTCAGAATGTAAATATATAAGTGAAGAATGTGCATAAAATGATTAAATCCCGACAGATTCTTTTTTGTGTATGTGCTACCAAGCAATATACTAGAAACAGAAGTAGGTCCATTGTAAATTATAGTATGTGTATCATGTGACTCTTACTAATTATTTAGAACTGAGGTTGTGTAAAACTACTTTGCGTGCAAGAAAAATTCAGTGACACAAGTATTTACTGAATGTACATTTGTTTTTAGAGAAGTTTGTTTTGTAATCAATTTTTATTCCTTTTTGTTAACCAAAAATTAGGTTCAACGCAGCAATGGCAGTCATGGAAAATTGCTCGCAAGGAAGTTTAAGAAATAGTAACAACAATTTTAAAGAGAAAACGAATAATTAATATTTTCAGATTTTTTTTTCCTTACTGACAATTACTAGCTGATAATACTTTATTTAAATGTTATGGCAAATTTTCCTGTCGCAAGGTATCTCTAATTAATAAGAGATGTGTGTCGAAGCAACAATTAATGACCATTTCTGTTGCCCTTAATCTTCATTTCATTTTTTTTTTTAATTTTAACAGATAATACTTGCAATTAGTTTAAAGTCAAGTACAGTGTACAATGTATTTTCAATTGGTTGAGAAATAAAGGGAAATTAGAGAATTAGAGACAGCTAAACAAAATTTCAGGCGATGCGATTAAGTCGCTTAGTTATGCATGAAGTTAAAACCTTAAATGAATAGTGCACCGCATGTTTTAATTGAAAATTTAGAATAAATTGCAAGCTGATTAAACGATACAAAATTAATTAGACAAAATCAATGTACGCAGCGCCGTACTACTATTACCATTGACTTTAAACTAACTAGTCTTGAAATAATATATTTTTTTTTTTACAATTGTGGTAATCCCACGACTTTATTGTATATACACAGTATAGCAATATGAATCATATGTGTAGGTAAATTATTGCATTTCTGTGTCTTTTCAATTCGTGGTGGAATGGCAGTTTATTATATATCAGGATTTAAATACAGTATTTCTGTATCATCCTTATCATGGGAATACGTTGATTTCATTTAGTGAATATTTGAAGAATCAAATTGATTACCTTAAAAATTTCTTTGTTGTATCATTAGCAAAGATAGCTTTGTTCTATTAAATTTTAATAATCATGTAATATAGTAATAATAACAATGATACCTTCTTTATTGTCAAGGTGTTAAAAACAAAGGGCAAGAATCAGCTACATATGTAACTGCTTTGCATTCTAACCCCTTGCATTCTGACATAGTAGTCTACCAGTGGAAATTGATTATTCTCTTTTCTCGATTACTTAGTTCTTCCATTGCATTCTTGAATTATCTATCTACATCTGCGAAACGACTATAAGCTGCCTCTCCTTTCTTCAAACGGATGTATGTTCTCTATTTGTACATGTGTTTTTTTTAAAAGCCGGATAGGGTCGCCAATAAATTGGGGGACTACAGTTTAGTTGCCATTATCACAGTGTACACGTTATAATAAGGATATATGTCTCCTTTCAGCGAGACCGACATTCCTGAATCTCAACCTGAATCTGAACTCACTGACACGTCTTCAGCAATCCACCTCAGCCAAGTGTAGGTGACACTAGCTGCTCAGTTGCTCTTTCAAACAAAATTGCATAATAATTATTGTACAATAATATAATAGAATTATAAGTTGATAAAAATTTAATATTTAACAGCAGCATGGAACTTTTTATCTTAACATTTTTTTGTTACGTTTCCTTTAATTAAAACTTTTCAATAACTTTAAGATAATATATGAAAGTTGTAGTAGGATACATTAAATTTTATTCAAAATCTTGTCTTCAGAAGGAGATAACTACGTCAATCATATTTTTTTGGCAAAAATCTAAAGATATACGTAAAACTATTTATGTAGTATTAAAAAAATATTAGAAGCAGAGTTATTCCGTCTTTATGTTTGAAAGAGCAATATTCGTTTTGTAGAAATTCTTAGAGAGCTCATTTGTATTCCTTATCTTTTATTTCAGCATTAATGTAGTTACGAACGAGCCACAACATTAGTTGTACGTTTATAGGACTTTTATGCTGCAAGCAGGAAGGAGAGGATCTGATAAAAGGATATTAATGTTGTGGCCCGCGTCTGGTAGATCACCTATATTTTGTTTGCTACTTATAGTAATTATTAAATTATTCTTATTTTCAGTTTCGTTCAATGATGTATTCCACGCAACGTTTCACTTAGTAAACTCAGAGAACATGATATCTATATGACATTGATTCTAGACTTTTAAAAACAGCTTGGAATACATCAGCCTTTTATGAGTTTTCACGCAGCATGGCCTACGATTTATTTTTACTTCGTTCTTTTTACTTCTAAATGTACATCAGGTCGACCTGGCACCAATAATAAAAATGCTTATAAGCCCTGAGCAATATTTTACGTTTTTAAGAACACGCGATACAAAGTCTTGTAAAACCAGAAATCTAATGGTAATTTTATGCTGCAGCATATTTTTAAAGTCTGATGCAATATCATTTCTTATTTTCAATTTAGCAAGCCGTTATTATATGTTAAATTTAAATTGGCAGACATCATTATATGGTAACTTTGTCAGTTTAGAGTTCAAAATGAATGAGAAAAAAATCTAATAGTACAAAAGGTATTCAATAGTGCATTAAAAAATTGAATTCTTTCAGAAAGGAATATAGTGACATATTTCAATTCGGCAATGGTAATTATGTTAATCTACCTGTAAATTGGCAATCCCGTGATCAGTAATCATAGACGGATTTGTGTAAACATGTTTAATTTTAGAAAATCTCACTATTACGTACGTATAATTATGTAATTCTTATGCTGCAGTATGAAGTGATGATATACGAGTCTAAATATGGCCAGATCGGCCATGATACGTCGAAGGATGATATATTGTTGAATGATGTTCTCATTTATTTCTATGAATTTCTTTCAGCATCCCCAAATATGGTTGGTACCAAGCTAGGTCTTCGTATGACAACTCTGCACGAAGAAACTTCAAACACTGGAAATCAGACGTCACCATCGATCAACGATGACGAAGAGGAAAAGAGTGACGCAGATTGTTCCGAATTTGACGCTTATCAGGTAATTTAGAAAAGCAAAACAGTATTTAATTGAACAAAATTTTCATGAGTGTAGCGAAACGTGGGTTGTTCGAAAGAAGATAGAATTTTCCTTTCCTTCATCACGGATTTTTAAAGCCGGTTTACACAAAAAACGAAGCCTGATACAGAATAAATTTATTTTGAAATTTCAATTTTTTTTTTCCACACGAGGAATCATCGCCTTTTCTCTGTATTACGATTTCCGCGTCTCTCTGTATATAGTATATATAAATATCTGCCACCAGGCACCGCCGAAACCGACGAAGCCGCTGACCTCGTCTCGCACCCTGGATTCTCTGGTCGAATTGCAATCAACGAAAATCAACACACCCAGTATGAGCAGCAGCGGTTACGGTTCTCAAGCTGTTTCCACGACGAACCTTACCTCCGAGGATTCGATCTCCATTAAGTCTATCAGTGTCGATGAAACTCCAGACTTGGAGTACAGAAACCTCTTCGACGGTAGGAAGCCGGAAAAAATGGATAGCTCATTGGTCGAAGAAACTCCTGAAGAACATATGGAAGATCTCAACGAAACGTTGGATAAGCTAAATGTCAGTTCCCCTGAGCAAAACCCAAAAGATGTTAAAAAGAATCTTGAAAGGCTGGGTGCATACGGTGATAACGTACGCGAGAGTTCGACGTCAAACGAGAAGATGGAGACACCTTCGACGAATGATTTGAAGGTACAGGAAAAGTTTGATAGACCAGAAATTCATGAAACTGAAAAGAAAGATTTAGAGGTCAGTCACGCCTCCAATTCTGGGGATGATAGCCCATCGGAAGGCACATCCGTTGTTCACGTCAAACTGCCACCTGGCAAGGTATTTAACTTTACTTCATTAAATCTAATTGGAAAATATTTTTTTTTTTTGACCGTCTTCCTTTTCAATATTCAGGTTGTTCGGAGACGAAAAGCTGCAGGCTTAACAGGAAGACCCATCAGCTCTCAGCATAGAGCTTCTTTCCCTATGGTCCGTCCACAAGTTTCAGAGAGTAAGGCTGCTGCTAGATTGGAACAGACACTACAACCTGGTATGCACTACGAGAACGGGGATAACAGTTCTTCTGAACGTATCGACGGTACATACCATTATGGATCTTGTTATTTTTTAACGATAGCTCTGATTTCTAGTTACGTACTATATATTTTGAGGAAATAATATATTACATTCTTTCGTATCCGTAACAGACGATGTAAGCGACAAAAGCTCAGCGTTTGGTTCACGACCTGATCTAACCAGAATCGAAGCACCGATACCCGACTGGATTGTAGTTGGAGAATCAGTCTTGGTTCGTCCATACAGTTACTCTGGAGTTATTGCCTACGTCGGGCCTACGGAATTTGCTTCAGGAACCTGGATAGGCGTGGAATTGGATGCTCCAACTGGTAAAGTAACAGATCAAATGAATCTACCTGGAGAAATTTGTCTTTAGTTGTACAACCATGTATATTCACTGACAAAAATCATTCCCGCTGACAATATTTAACCATGATTTCCTGATTTCAGGTAAGAATGACGGAGCCGTCAATGGCCACAGGTACTTTTCATGTCGGTCCAAATGTGGGATCTTCGTTAAGGTAGACAAGTTAATTCAAGATAGACGAGGGAGAGCTCTTAGAAGCTACACCAAACAAGAACCTACACCACCTCCGTCTGCGACGATGCGCAGAAGCACGAGCAGAGGTAATTTTTGCATAAAAAATTTTGAGTAACGTATAGAAATCATGAAATTATTCGTATAGGGTGTCACGTATCTCAGTGATAATCATCTTTTTCCTTAACTTTTTCAAGTATTACTATAGGTCGTGACGTATGTATGTATATTTGTACAAAGTTAATTAATTAGCTCTGTCCATCATCCATACAGGGAAATCATCCCTGGTGTTCCCTTTACCATGGTTGAGTGTGACGGCTGCGGCATGTTGGGAGTGCCGGTGCCATCAGCGTATCTCCAGGATTTCAATTTTGACTTCCTCCCAAACGATAGTTGCCCATTATGATATTCATAGACTGATAGACAGGTGTTAGTGGGATACGTGGGAAAATAAAGGAGGAATTCAAAAATTAGAATAGAAAAAAGGAAACAGAGAAAACAGCGAAGAACGACAAACGCAACAGCACTAAATTTAAGCGTTTAGTCTAGTGTTTATTAAGTAAAAGTAGAGTCATACGACGCTCACGCGAATGTAAATGAAACTTGTCAATCGCGATTTTACTATAGAGACTCGAATCTGATCTGAATTTAAGTCAATGAGACCTTAAACGTTTTCTTAACTATTTAATAATATATGAAAATTTTGAATTTCAGGCGAAGGCCTACATTCTTTGCACCGAAGTCGGAGCCGAGGCGAGGGCCTTTCGACGGTAGGAACCCGATCATCACCTCGGAGCAAATGAGGAAGCGGCAAGCATCACTTTACAACTTCGTTCTACCCTAATACACTAAAGTAATATACCCTACGTGCTACATGCCTACGATATGTGTAGCAGCAGTGTTTCCAGTCCCACAGATATACTTAGGGCAGCTATTGAATATCGATAATTAATTACAAATATTACTCGAAGTACTAGGATCATACTAAAGTATATCACACAGTGGCATAATGAAATTTCCCCCCGATCCTTCCCGTAATAACAAAGTGACCAGATCCTTCGAATTCGAAAATGAAACAATACGCGTTATGGTTGTAGCAAAGAAACTCCATTTCGCATTTCTTAACACAGCCCTCGGCGACAGATAGATATTATATTTATATATCTATAAATTGTCGAGTGACATCCAATGATTATATGATATATATATACATGCATTTATATGCATGTATATCAATGCATTCCACGACTTTAACGTTTTGTCACCGGGTACGTCTAAGCAATTGAACTTACCGCCATATGGTAACCCCAGTCTTTTTATCTCTCTCTCTCTCCTTTCTTTTCCTACTAACTTCCCATCCTTTTCCTGATCCTCCCCTTTTCTCTATCCATTTATCCAACTTTCTCCATTATCCTTCGCTATAACTTTAATTGTACATTAAAATCAAGCCAGACTAACTTGACTTTCGTTCGTTGGCATTTCTTCTTTGATCGATCAACAGTTCGATCGTTACGGACACTTTCGAAAGTTGCCGGCTGGTAATTTTTACGAAAGTTCGACAAGTGGCAACCGTGACGCATCGGGGCGGCGACGAGCTGCCGTGTAGATTATTTAAAAGATTTTATATGTATACCGTTGTTTCATATATATTGTATTTTTTTAGCGCAAATCTGTTAAGTTCCTTTTTATTGTAACATACATCTTCTGTCGCTATCCCTCTTTCTCGTGCGTGAAAGCGCAGCGACAATTATTTAATTTATACGTTGCAGGACGGACGACGTTACGGGCGATAAAAGATTACGAGAGCTTGGACGGAACTCAATGTCGGGTTTTCTTTTTTTCTCTTTTAGTGTAGCCAATTGACTAATTTTTAAATGGCATTTTGAGTTTTCGTAAGCGAACCCAGCGTGGCGCGACGCTACGCTGCAATATTAGCTTTATAAGTATTTAGTCCATAGACGATAATTGAAAAGCGAGCTTCTCTGCAACGTGGCAATTGCGTTTTTGTTATGTTATTACGATATTACCATTTAACTAGATTGAATTTGCTCAGTGAGGCTGGCAACTCTCCTTTTATTTGGCCGACCCGACCTAACATAATCTAACGTAACATAACGTAACGTAACATAACCTAGTCTCTCGTGTCGGTGAAGCGAACGAGACGAAAATGGATCATACGGTTTATTAATAGGTTAACTTGAAACTTGTCTATATTGCGAAGAAAGAAAAGGCAACAAAACCAATTCCTGTCCAATTAGAACAATACTAATATTATCGCTAATGAATTTATTATTGTATGTAATATTCATTTAAGTCTAATTGTAAAGAGTCGTCACGGCGTCGTACGGCGCGCGCAGGCCACTGTCCATTTTTTGGTAATCGAGGTTGTTAAAGGCGAAACACAAATTAAGTACTCACGCGTCACAGCGATGCTACATGCCTGTCGGTGTAAACACACAAAATAAAACTTTTCTTTCACTCGTGAATATTATATGCTTTTCTTTTTATTCTCATTTTTATCGCGTCCCGAAAGCCACTGACACAGCCCTGTACTCATCGAGAATTTATTTTATTATCTTAAAGTTTCTATCGTCTCCGCCCAATGAGCACACAGTGTGCTTTTCACAGTTTACCTCGTGCAATATTTTTTTACGAGTCTTGGCAGCTTTCGGCGGAGCATCTAGCATTGATGGAGCTTGTATAGCCAGTTTCGTCTAACGATAAGACAATGTCCATTTTTATCACTAATTGTCTAATAATAATCATTCGTACTGCATCCTTATTCTACCCTAATTGTCCTAAGCCCGATGGTTCATTGAAAGTTTAATTCGTAACGTTTCTTTTTTTTTAACGTTCCTTACAATCTCGACTTCGCATTATATCAATTATACAATTTGATAATTTACAAAATTAAACGTTCATTAAAATACCGGGCAGTACAATTACAATTTTGACCAATCGGTGGAAAAGGGTTTTTTTGGAAGAGTCTACGACTGGGCGCAATGAAATTTCCTATGACAAAAATTCTCTAAACTTCACAGATATTTGGCTTTGTGTTCACGAAACTACTTTGCCTTACGAAAATATAAAGAAGCTTTGAATCCTTATTTGAATCGAAGTAAGACTCAACGACCATCTCGAGATTCATACAATAAATCAAATTTAAGGATTCACGGTAGAACCAGCGATTTTCTATACTTTATTTGGTGCACGGAATATAATGGTCTACTTTTTTTTACACAAGTGGTGCTAAAAAACCTTAATAATTTTTAAAAACACCGATGGTGGTTCTCAACTGCTACCATCTGCAGTTTTGCAAATCTGTCCACAATTTGTGGATCCATCCGTCCTGCCTTGTGCTAAATACAGAGCTTAATATCAACGCACTAGAAAATCTATATAAATAATAACCTTACAATAATGTATAATATTGTGTTACACGTGACATTTACAGCTTGCTATAATATAATCTTCGTAGATAATTTTACTTGATAATTATAATTATATAATTAACGAGCAAAGCTTTAAATATGAAACTAATCTTTGGAACACGAACAAAGGCACTTTACCATGAATTCATGGTGAATCACAAGAATTCTCTTCCAGTGTGATCCACATTAGAAGAATTTTTTTTTAACATAAAGCCCTGAAATACGTTTGTCGTTATCGACTGCATACTGTCAAAAAAACAGTATTTCCAATAATTTGAATTATTTCCACAAATACATTTGAAAAATCGCTGCTGATCTTGTTGTTAAATTTAAAGTATATCTCAAGAAGTTTTTCTGTGAAATTAATACAATTTTTATTGCCGATGCCGTAATCTCAGTAATACAAGAATAATTAAACTATTAGGAAGTTATTCGTTATTGGGTAAATTTTATACATGGTCCAAGTACGAGACTCTTCCGCGTCCAGTCATTAAAAAAAAAATGTACGAATGGTCACCTTCATAATTAAATTACATATAAGATTTAAGTATCAAAATTGGTGTTATATTTTAATGTAAGTAAAAGCAGAGAGCAAATTTGACTAGGAAGAAGAAAATTATACTTGCTCCGTTTATGTTTAAGGCGACACCTCGTGTAGTACTTGATGCTTAGAAAATCTTTGTTTTCAATTTGCACACGAGTTTCACCAACTTTCAATTCGTCATCCTTGAATCGAAATCGTTGTCGAAAAATATTGTATCGTCAACGTAGCACATATTTTCTTTGTTGACAGTACGCTATTGAAGTACATTTTAGTATGATACATGAAAACGGTTGCTATGGCAACGCGGTTTAAATTGTCTTTGACGATGTGTTTTTCACGTGAGAGTAAGGTAACGCAATGTTGCACGATTTTTTCTTTACCTCGGATCGCCAATACTATGCTGTAATTCTGCCAAAAATGTACGATTGACAAGTAGTTTTTAAGAAATCTTGAATCCTAGATTGATAGAACTCGCCATTAAACTGTAAAATACTATGTAAGGGTCTTGGAGATTTGGCCGATCGTTGTTCTAGATTCGAACTAAACTCTAGATCCTCTTCATGAAAGCTTATTTTTGTCCAATTGCTAAAGGTTACCGTCGGTAGATTAATCTTCGAGGCCCGCTCGGTATTGTCGTCTTGCTGCACGGTAGGTCGCTTCGATCGCGAGCACTATGTTTTTTAAATCGAACCAGAATTCCGTAACCGCGAGCGTTTCGTTAGACGAATATTCCAGCAGACACGAAATGACAGTTGCATATGGGAACGTCATAATTTCTTACTCAGATACGTAATAATTATAAAACACCTCATGTACATAACTGTTACATCCTTGGGTAGGATATTGTAACAGTGACAACGTGTAACTTTGTTACTTTGTGTCTGCTCGGTTGTCTATAAAATTCGGCATAAATTCAACAAGTTTGGGAAAACTGGAAAAACGCAGGACAAACCGGAATTCAACGAAGCACGACTGCGCGGAGTCACAGTTTATGTCATATATCTTTAAAAAAGAAAAGGAGTATGTGAGTTCTGTGTGTATTATAGGTGTTTTTTTACCACTTCTGATTGACCATAAAATCATCTAGGTTAAATCATTTAGAAATTCTGTTTAACCCAGGAATTGCTGCGCAATTTGAATAGCATTGAGTTGGGGTGTCGCAGCTGACGTACCTACTTTAAGGTTAGAACAGCCAGACTGTTTTTCAAATTTGCTTATACCTGTATCGTATCTGGAAATCCAAATTATCTTAGTTTCGATTCACTGTGACTCATCTGAAATCAGATTCTTTTCGTGATTTTCAATGCAATCGATATGACGTCTACATGGATTATGCGTGCATATACGTATATGGCACGAGACTCCGCGCGGCGTGTTTTTTAATTAATTAAACTTAGAAGATAATCTTGATACCAAAACGACTCTTCTTGAATACTATTTTTGTTTTTGCAAAAATTCTCAGCAGCACGACGTGCAATGATAAAGTGCAGTGTTTATGTTAAATTGGCAAGGGAGAATAATATATCAGCCAATAGTATTTTTGAGTGGAACGACGGTTTTCCTTTTATACCTCTACTACAATTTTAACTCGTATGAATCAATGTCTTTCCGAATTATTGACGTTAATTTGAAAAATCGTTCACACAAAAGTTGCATAGTGTATATATATGTTAATTCTGTGAACGAGCTGTATTATTCCTCAAGATTTGTCATTTTAACCTGCATTTGACGAATGTGATACGACCATATCTGCTGTTAGAGTCTCTAATCATCGTCCAGCAGTCTGTCGATGGTAAAATAATTAATCTGTTGCTCTTTAGACGACATTTTCTAGAATTCACTGTGACTTTTACGAAGTGTCGCGTCTTTTTTGTCGTTGTTCATCTAACAAAGATATAATATTTTTTTATTCGCAAAAAGTCTTTAAACCCATTGAAAGTCCATGAAGAAATTTCAAGCTGTTTTAATTATTCAGGCAAAAATTAATTTTCTATCCTTAATTTGCAACCGTTTGTCAATTATTCAAGACAATGATGCAATATCATTGTACATGAGTCAAATAAATTTCTGGGCATCCACAAGAATTAATTACATACAAATATTGTATATTCACAAAGAAGACTAATTTTGTAATGACAAATTGTACTTGGCATCGTATAACTTTTCCATTTTGGAACTTTTATGTAATATGCAACTTTTGCGTAAACAATTGTACGATTCGGATAAACATTGAAATATGTCTTCGTAGTATTTCGACCATGCTAACAGTGAGTATAAATATTTATTAGTTACGTACAATCACAGACCGTACTAGCACATTACTACTAATAATTTGCATTGTCAAATAAGTGGAGAATCGGTAACGATAGAACAGATTAAGTATAATCTATTATATTACCTAATATTAATAGTCTACCTTTCTTATGGTCAATAAGTATACAGGGTGGACCAATAACTTTGTCCATATTTCTGTTATTTGTAATAATTTCAAAAAATGTTTCATATAAACAAAATACAAACAAAAATGTTTCATCCCATTTAAAAAAGTGAAAATGGCCTTGAAAACTCCCTTACGCCCCCACACTCACAAAAAATAATAACCACATTACGTCCACCTCAAAACCATACGAATTTTGTATAAAACATTTTTTGAAATTATTACAAATAACAGAAATATTCCAGGTGGACAAAGTTACTGGTCCACTCTGCATAATATATTTAGATCGTGAATTATTAATTTCAAGATTAATATTCTTTAAGTTACATTTAAAAATTTTTTAAGAATTAAATCTACTCAAAGCACTAAAAATAAAGGCATACTATAGTCTATTATAAAATATTTCCCAAATATAAAAGATTCCATTATCGGAAATACATTCTTCATTCGTATATATATATATATATATCATTAAAAAGGCTGCTTCATATTTTACCGATAAAGCAGCTACAATATACATTTATGCAAGTATGTGAAAATGCCATCGTATAAGTTGAATTGATAATGAAAATATTTAATAATTTGTAAATTAGACAAATACTAGCGATCGAAGCGGCTATCGGTCGCGCGTGTAAGATAAATAAATAGATGAATAAAAATGATAATTCAACTTCAATAGACATGAAAGAAGGTGTACAAAATTTACTTGGGACAACAGTGAGTCGAAGGGGCATGAAATTATATATTCTTCTTGTATTATACACAAGTAAGTATACATCAATAATATTTTTCTAAGTAGTCATTTGTCTGGCACCTTAGACTTTGTCCATAGAAATAAGAAGCAACAACTCAAATTCTTGGACAACTTGGCTAATTCTAAGTCTAGCTTAAACAGTCGTTTAAAATAGTGTCTGACAACAGAATCATCCAAATGTCAAGTGAGACATATACATGGAAAAAAGTTCAGACATTTCATGCTATATTCTTAAGTACATGATTATTAAGGAGTATCATACCACTCGTAGGTGATGGTTGTGACTTTTTTGAATGTGCAAAATTTTTTTGTCAAACAGCAATTTTTTTTTTATGACAAATGCATAAGATACGAGCAAGTCCAAGCGAACGTGCCACATTGGAAACCTGTGTTACGTCCGGATGAGAACCTTCGATCACGCTTCCTGCTTTTTACCATTATCTTATCCAGTGCAAAATATTATGTTATCTTTATCAAAATGCAATCAGTCTTTCACCACATCGTAAAGTTCAGTTTCATCAGTCTTCTTAATAATTTCCAATTGTGGATTTGAATTTCGATCCACCGTCGATAACAATTTGTTCCGTACCAGTATCATGACCATCAACGGCACTGGCAGATCCTGTGTAACTGTTCCGAAAGTAGACTCTAACCAGGCCATACCGACCGTCGGTAAGTTAGCGCGGAAAAAAATTTATATCTTTATAATGCCTATAAAATTGCTTCTTAAATGCTCCTTGTTTTCCCAATTGCTGCCCTAGACACAGGGTTCATTAGATCAGATGTTCAGTGTCGGCCATTTGCATTATTTTTCCTTTCCTTTATCGGCGTCGCTCTGACAGGTCAATTGGAGTTTTGAGGAATTTTAGGATTCTTGAAATTCTCTCAGATACTATTATGCACATCCACAGTGCGCTATGCACTTTTATGTAGGTCTCTTGACGTATCCGTCATTGGGAAGGAAAAAGGATATAGGGGTATAAGGACGAAACGTTACAATATAATATATTAAGTATTGATTATTAATTTTATTGATTATTCTTATAATTATATATATATATATCCAGTTACTGTCGTGATATCAGATTTTAGATAATGATTTTAGATTATTTCTTTTTCATCTTCTTCGACAACGGCGTCAACCAAATTCTTACATTTGAACCAATTTAGCCTCGAGGCAATGGTACACAGCAAGAACAATGCTCCTGTGCCCGAGGCCACTGTCCCAACAGCACCAAACAGCAGCGTTGCTAGTCCCGTGGCACCCAATGACTGTAAAGTGGCAAAGAGCGAACCGGCTGCGACCAATCCGATGGAATATTGCCACGATGCGGCTAGGGATTCGGATGCGATGCCAGTTGCTCCAAAGCCAGCGATTGCCGGTAAAGCAGCGGTTAACGCACCGCTTGATATCGTTATGCTAAAGCCACTCGATACAATGATAGCTATCCATTACTACTTTACCGACCGCGTGCGATCATTCGTCGGAAGTAGTAAGCGTTCGTAAATATGCTTAGTAGGTAGGACGAAGTTACCGACCCTTCTACTACTACTGTACCGATTGTTTGCAAACCGTTATCTGGACGTCACATCTGTTTGCCCTCATACTTTTGATGGCGAATGTATAAGATATTCTCACATGGTCTCATACGGTCGTGCTTTATAGATATATTAAGTGATTGTACAAAATTTCATGCCCGATTCATACTTCTGCCATCTATGACAATTGGGCACGAACTTTTCCAATCACCTAATATGTTATTTGTCCCAACTGCACAATATAGTTACATATCTAGTATCCCAGCAAACATATTAGCATATGTACCGTGCATGGTAGTTATTATTTTTCACACATTCTCATAATGTCAATTTAACTTAATATTGCTGTTATGCCGACGTTACGTATAACCGAGTCGAAGTCGAAAATCCTACTGTACATTTTCAATGTGGCGAAAATTGAAATATCTGCAACTTATACGTTGACAGTAAAACGATATATAGAATGTCGCGACAAGTTTGCCTTGAGGTACGACCCGCTTGAATCACGCGGTCGCATTTTATGCAGTTGCTTTTGGCAAAAAAAAATAATTTCGTGGTCGGGGAACTTTTAAACTGGAATTTTTTTATAAATTAATCCATATCTGCAATAGTTCTAGCTACTAATAAACTAATTTTCCTGTGTTGATTTCAGCGCTATTGCCGCAGTTCAGCCACAGACATTTTGGCTACACACGTACGACACTGAGCTTTTGGATAATTTATTTTATTATTTAATATTATTTACTAAAATTTTATTTTTTCATACTGCACTCGTCCCCTCCGCGTGCAAATTTACTTTCGCACGATATTCGAATATTATTAATGAAATTTTTTGATATATTTAGTTTACCGATAATGAAGCGAAAATTGACTGCATCAACATACAGTAATGTTAAATAAATAATGGAATCGCCATATACCGTACTTATTAATAACGTAACAAAGATTCGTTAAGTCAATCTAAATCCCGATCATTAAAATTTATTCATCAATATTATTTCAAAGTAATTTTCTATCGTAAATAATTCATACCGCACCTTTCGAAAATTCGATGGATTCAGTTTGTTATAATATTAGTAGTCATACTTGCTTCGCCATGATTATATCCACCCAGTGTCCTTAAAAATATTTCAGATCCGAAGTCGGCATTCCGCTGATGATTCAGAAATAGTGATTCAACGTTCTGCTTGAAAAAATACACATCAGCCTTAACGTTCAGTAACTCCTGTTTCTTATCCAGCGGCGTGCTGTGTAATTTGAATTACTTAAGTAAAATCAGCCTTTCATAGTCGGTATTGTTAAACAATGCAAATTCCCGTCAAAAATTGATACCCGAAAGGATCGAGAAACGCTTACCTGAGACGCTTCATAGCAGGACAAACAAGTGTAATAAAAGGACTGTTGAAGAAAGAATTAAAAAAATGCAGGAAAAAAATAGTTAAAAATTTTCCAAAAATTTCAGTTTCAAAAATCACCTACGATAACGTCAAACGAATTTTCTTTGATTAAAAGAGGTGATTGACGTACAGTCTACGAGGACAACAAGGACCTTGGGATCCTTTGAACAGTGTCACTGACATTCCCGTAGGAGTCATCCTATTATATTTAAATTGGATGAGCATACCGTGGGTACCTATATGTATACCGTCTGTCAACCGCAGAGATATAACCTCACCCGTCCTGTTGTGTCCTTTCTGAAGGATCTAGACAAAGGAAGAAATTGACAGATCATCATCCCAACATTTCTTCAACGTACACACATTTCCTAATGATATCACAGGCGGACGAAGCCTTTCATCCTTTAAAGACAATGCATTTTAAATTTACCTCGAGACTCGTAATCCCATTTAGTTTCCTATACCAAACACAAAGTTTCAATCTGATTGTAAATTCAAATTAGTAAAACCCAGCCGAAGCCGACTTTCAATGCCCATAAAAATTTCACAGATCGTTACTTCATTTCTACTACGTAAAATAGAAGCGAAGCTAACCAATCGCATTGCTCTGCTCTATTATAAAATTTCACGCGTGACGTATGATTTATCGTCAAACTTCGCAAAAAAATATTTTTCACCTTCGATACGATTTTTAAAAAATTCAAATATTTTTGAAAATTTATACACTAAAGCTTTATTCTCGGTCATACGTCAGCTTGAATGTCAACGGTATCCAAAAATCTCATGCAATCAAAGGGGAATGAATTTTTCGTCCTGTCCGAAAGAAATATCTTTTCAAACTGAAATCAAGTGCACGACTAAATAAAAAGTTTCAATCGTAACAGTCGTTTGCTTTGAAGCAAATATTTTTATTCACGGCCGAGCTATAATAGCCACTTTATTCCCTGATAAAAGCAGGACTAAAGTACCATTTTATTCCCGCATATTTGGTTTTCCCGTAAATTTTATTCCCACATTTCGCGGGAATAATGAACTTTGTTCTAAAACTCTCACCCGCGGGAATAATCAACGACTTTACTCCCTTGTTGCATAATCCACTATTACGTAACGTTCTTATGTTTATATTACCACGAGATGACAATTGCGAATATCGTCAAACGCGATTTGCAATAATATTGTCATTTCGATAATACAAAGGAAGAACCCCAGGCCGGTTAGTCCTTCGGGTTGCTTATCGGCCGAGTACACGCTCGAGGAACTTCCAGCTGTCACTGTCAGTTTGACAGCCCATACATGCTCGATGTGCAGTTACAAGTCCACGGTAGACTATGGAATCGTAATACTTTTTAAACGTAACAACTACATTTTATTATTGTCTCTGATAATTGTACATGGACAAGCATAATAAATTGGCCAAGAGACAATTAAAGTTTACCGTCAGAGAAGAGTCTCGGGAAGTTCAGTCGTGAACGTTGACTTTACAATCCATATATATGACTGTGCGCATTCGTCACGCCATCTGCGGCGACGCACAGGAAGCTTAGTTTTTTGATAATCACGTATGACTAAAATCATTTCGCGGAAGCTCCATTCAATTTTCGATGAATATTCGACATTGACAGCCAATAGCAATAATAAATAGTCATATCCTTTACGCAAGTAAGACGCACCTTACTTTCTCGTCGTTGGACTTTATGTCAGACTGTTTCTGCCGAAATCCAGTCTTTCGCGTCTTTGATCGTCAATTTTTAAACAAAACAAAAAAGTACGCGAAATATTCGAACCAAAACTTTAATCGATCGCTTTCCTTAATCTGAAATCGGGTCGACCGATATGTTTCGAAAGAAAACTGTGGCATTGAACAGAATTAGAAAACTCAAGTTTCGTGCAAAAGGTCCTTGTCAAATTTTGTCCGCTTTCAATCACGAAGGTCCATATTGTTGCGGGTATCGCGAAAATTATTACTCGTGACGACACTGCTAATCAATTTATTCGTTACGGCATACCAGTCCTGTGTAAGAATAATTGACGCATCCGCAAAACATTAAGACATTATACGAATAAGGCACTTTCGGAATACTTTTTTTACACCATTGCAGATCTACTACTAAACCCCGTACATTTTTTTATTCACTTCATCTCGGCAATAAGACAGTGCACGAGTCCAGTATGCCGTCGTCTTACGAAGCTCTGGTCAAGAGTTAAATCTTACATGGGTCCGCGCATTACAGTGGTGCCTAATCAAGAATCATCTCTAGGAAATGCAAATCCACTGATACAATGGTGTTCAACTGTCCCGGCTTGGTCAGCTTTCCAAGAGCAGTGTATGGAAGAGTCGCTATTGAAATATTTTTTTGTTTTCTTCGTACTCTTCCAAGAAACGCAATTGCCATTCAGCAGGGCTGCCCGGCGAAACATCTGGGCTCTCCATCCTTGCGATAATCTTGGAATAGAAATCCCAGTGTTCGCGATTAAAAGTCACAACATAAATCCATCTTTCTTATAATTCCGAGGTCAATTAAATTTTCTTTTACGAGGCGTCAAAAATATTCGTAAAACAGTGTAAATTCGAGTAATCTCAATTAAATGTTAAACTATAAGTAAGGTTTTTGTAATTAAATTAAATTAGTTTTTTTTTTTTTTTTTCCTTACAAAAAATCAAAGCCAAAGCGATTTCCTCAAAATTATTTGACTCACTGTCGAGACTGTTCGTCCTTGTTCCGTAAGGGTTAATTTTTCCATACAAAAATTTATACATCTCTACGCTTCAGCTCTGCCGATAACACTGGTACGGCGTATGGGTTAATCGTTTCGCCGTTTAGTATAAAAAAAAATATTTCCGTAATTTCACTGCCATAATAAATTCATATCATCATAAATTGCTTATATATCCGAAAAGCATGTCGACAACATAATTAACAGTCCTCCACGTGCATAATACTACGTGATACACGCTATGCAAAAGACGCTTTATCGCGCTTCCACTTCTTTCTGTTTCTTTCGTGCAACCGAACTTTTTGCCATGCCATGTAAGCATATCGCATATATGACGGGCGAACATGTGTTCCGCCATGAGATCATTGAACTGACTGGGTTATAACAGCAAGATTGACGACCATCCGTTTTACGGTATGTCGTAGCCATTAAATCTGAATGCAGTTGTAATTGCATTGTAGTTTATTTTCCTATTGCATTTTTCCAAATACTCACGCTCCGGAATGATCGCACGAAGTATTTTACAGTCGGTCCACGAGTTCCAAATGTTTCGCTGACAATTCGCAAGCAATGTAAAACCTTAGGAAATGACACGTGGCTTTCCATAAAATAATGAAAAAGACATACTGAAGTAAAAAAATATATTTCAGTGTAAGGCCCATCGACGTGCATAACCTGTAATGAAATACAGAGCCACGTGGTACTTGACACTTTTTTTCCATCTGTCAAAAAAAAAAAAAAAAACATTGATCTCGTGAACCGACTATACATATATACAGACAAATGTTTTCATTGAAATATTTTGAAAATTAATTTTTCATATTTCAGTAAATATATACGTCACGTAAGAAATGCGTAGACACGTGTTTATTATTTGTCCTTACTCAAAATTTTGAGAAAATATTTTTTCGCGACAAAATCCTTTCGACTTTTTCTCTTTGTGGATAATTTGTGAAATATAAAAAAAAAAAAAATGTCAAGCACCGCGTGCTCTTATTTCGAAAAACAAGCTGGTCCTCTTACAAGCTGAACGTTGAATGAAATAAGAGGCATTATGATAGGACGAGAAATAAAGTATCATCTCGTTCTGTGAATTCCGATGAAAGTTCTTTGTAACGCAGGCTCCAAAGACAAAACGAGAACGGTGCGATTTGCTACGCGCATTCCTATACGCCTTGGATATTCATTGAGATTCATTTATGCGGGCGACGGTATTAAAGGTTCCTTTATTTTGGCAAAGAGACGGTGTAAACGAAAGAAAAATAAAACCTTAAGAAGCTTGACGATCGAGATGCGCCGGCCACGCGCATTCAAGCCGCATTTCGTAGGAATCGCCACGCGAAATACTAATACCGTCCAAATGCCCAGGAGGATTTGCTTGTCTAAAATTTTTCAAATTTCTTGCCACACGAAAAAACGAACATTCGATTCCTTCGTCATTACGTGTCAATTACATTCCGCTTGCTGTTTTATTGCAATAGAAGAAATTCGTACGTAATATATCGCGAATAAATGAAATCTACGTAAATTTCTATACACGTGGCTGCTGATAACGGCGATAATTTTTTATTCGCTATATCCGTGTAGATAACGGAACTTCAATGATTTCGATTTCAAGCCGCTGCCTCGATACGAAAAAGATTTCCGTTTTATACTGCAGGAACAAATTTTTTTTTTACTATTATGGATTATAAATTTGCCACTTTGTAAATTTTTTTTTTTTTTTTTTTCATTAAAAATCGCCCCATATATTTTTTAACTGACTTCATCTCGGCAATAAGACAGTGCACGAGTCCAGTATGCCGTCGTCTTACGAAGCTCTGGTCAAGAGTTAAATCTTACATGGGTCCGCGCATTACAGTGGTGCCTAATCAAGAATCATCTCTAGGAAATGCAAATCCACTGATACAATGGTGTTCAACTGTCCCGGCTTGGTCAGCTTTCCAAGAGCAGTGTATGGAAGAGTCGCTATTGAAATATTTTTTTGTTTTCTTCGTACTCTTCCAAGAAACGCAATTGCCATTCAGCAGGGCTGCCCGGCGAAACATCTGGGCTCTCCATCCTTGCGATAATCTTGGAATAGAAATCCCAGTGTTCGCGATTAAAAGTCACAACATAAATCCATCTTTCTTATAATTCCGAGGTCAATTAAATTTTCTTTTACGAGGCGTCAAAAATATTCGTAAAACAGTGTAAATTCGAGTAATCTCAATTAAATGTTAAACTATAAGTAAGGTTTTTGTAATTAAATTAAATTA